CCTTTCTCCTTTTCCTCCTCCTCATCCTCTCCACTTTTCTCCCACCTCTCCCTTTCCCTTTTTCTCTTACCTTCCCTTTCCCTTTTCTCCTCTTCTCCCTTTCCCCTTTTCTCTTCCTTTCCCCTTCCCCTTTTCTCCTACCTTCCCCTTTCCCCTGTCTTTATTGTTCTTCCCCAATCATCATCTTCTCTATTCCCCCTCTTCTTCCTCCACAGGTTCCGGACTCCGCTGTGCTTGAGTGTGGCGACGGAAGCGACCCCAACGACCAGTGGTTCATCAAACTGGACGATGACACTTCCATCCGCGAGAGGGTTCACTGAGCGCTTCGAAGCCCAGAATGAGACGGGGTTCGAATCCCGAAATCAGACGGGGTTCGAACGGGGTTCGAAGCCCGGAATGAGACGGGGTTCGAAGCCCGGAATGAGACGGGGTTCGAAGCCCGGAATCAGACGTGGTTCGAAGCCCGGAATGAGACGTGGTTAGAAGCCCAAAATGAGATCTTCGAAACCCGAAATGAGACGGGGTTCGAAGGCCAGAATGAGACGTGGTTCGAAGCCCAAAATGAGATCTTCGAAACCCGGGATGTGAGTAGGTTCGAATGCGAGAAAAAAGATGAGGTTCGAATCTTTGAATGGGATGGAGGTCTAAGTCGAAATTGAGGTGATATATATGAGCCTAGAATATAGATAAATAAATAGACTGATAGGTAAATACATATAGATAGATAGATAAATAGACCGAGATATAGTTATAGATACTCCAAGACTTTAAATACACCTTTTCCTTATCTAGATGAAATCGAGAATGAGATACTTTTCGAATCCGAGAGAAGAGACACGGTTTGTTCGAGATCTATGATATGGGAATTTTATAAGGGGTCCAGGGCGGTAACAGCGGTTCCACACGACGTCGAGGGGACCAGGCTGTGAGGTCCGCGGCCATCTCCCTAGTCGGAATGGCTTCATTGCCCTCACCGTCGCCTCTCCCTCCCTCTCCTTCTCCCTTCTCCTCCCTCCCTCGTCCCCTCCCCTCCCTCTCCTTCTCCCTCCCTCTCCATCTCCCCTTCTCCTTCCCCCTCCCTATCCCTCCCTCTCCATCTCCCCTTCTCCTTCCCCCTCCTCTCCCTCCCCCTCTCTCTCCCTCTCTATTTCACCGTCTCTCTTCCCTTCCCCTCTTTCTCCCTTCTCACTCCCCTCTTTCCTTCTCACTCCCCCCTCTCCTTCTCCTTTTCCCCCTCTCTTCCCTTCCCCCTCCTCTCCCTCTTCCTCGCCCTCTCCCCCCTTCCGCTGTGTCTTGCCGCCTCGACACTACGGCGGAGGCAGAGGACTAAGGATACGGCCGCTTATCCGATAAGAGATTTTTTCGTTTATTTTTCGACTTACAAATTACGGAAATAGTGATAATAATAAAGAAATGATAATAGTAATAATAATAAAATAGAGAAAATATTTATGGAAATAGTGATAATAATAATGATCATGACAATAACAATAATAATAATAATAAATTAGAAAAAAATCGGTCCTTCCGACGCCTGCTTCGAACCGCGAAACTGAAACAAGAGAGAAATGCGAACCAAATGAAATTAATGAGATTTAACTTTTCCATTTAGGCATGTTCTCGTTTTCATCTTTTTAGTGTTTCTTTGTTGTATGAATAAATGATGATTGTTTGTTCAAATCTTGTTTCATTTTTCCTTTCATTATTTGTCTGAAGAAATCAAAGTTTTGCACTGTTGCTGCAAAATAAAAACGTAAACTACGATCATTCTTTTTGCCAATTACGTGTTTGAGAGACTTCGAATTCAGTGTAAAATCTCATGTTCACAAATCCAGATGAATTTTCGTTAAGATTCGTGGCATTAGAAATATAAACGTATTGTGAAATATTGGGTTTAAATATGTATATGCGTGTGTGCATATGTATGCATACATATATAGTTGTGTGTGTGTGTGTCTGTGTGCGTGCGTGTGCGTGTGTGTGTGTGCGTGTTTGTGTGTGTGTGTGTGTGTGTGTATGTGTGTGTGTGCGTGTGTGTGTGAATATCTCCCATTTTGATTATGATTAATGTCTTTAATATCTAATCAAATTAGGGACTGAAATCACTGACTGTCGATCCCTCCTCAATGTTTCTCAGACATATAGCTAGACCGACAGACAGGTAGATAGATAGATTGACTGAGTGATGAATAAATACATAGAAAACTATGTAATTAAGAAAAGATAGATTGTTTGGTTGATAGATAAACAGGCAGATAGATAAACGGACAGACAGACAGAAAGATGGATAAATGAACAGATAAAATGATATATAGACAATTGAATACATTGATAGATAGGCAGATAAGAAGATAGATATAAACAGAAGGTAGATAAATAGACAATAGATATATATTATATATGCATCATGGCTTAAAAGAACTCATCTTATCACTCGTTTTTCATGTAATTCAAGATGTAAATCATATACAATAACTTCATTGCAAAGTAAGTAATAACT